CTGAGCTTGGTGGTTTTCTTGCAGACGTTTCATTACCCAACTAGAGAACATCATCAGTGCTAGAAGGGAGGAGGAGGAGGAGGACTGAGGGGTCCTTGGTGCTCTCTGAGCTTGGTAGTTTTCTTGCAGACGTTTCATGACCCAGCCAGGTAATCGTCCTAGAAGGGAGTGGGGTGTTTGGAGTGCAGGAGGAGAAGAATGATGACTGGGGGGTCCTTGGTGGTTTCTGAGCCTGGTTGTTGTTGTTGTTGTTTTTTGCAGTTTCATTAGCTAACTAGATAACATTGCCAGTGCTATAAGGTGAAAACCCCTCTCCTTTCTAGCGCTGATGATGTTACCTAGTTGGGTCATGAAACATCTGTAAGAAAGCCACCAAGCTCAGAGATCACTAAGGAGAAGGGAGGGAGGGAGGAAGGAAGGATGACTTTTGATGTTATCTAGTTGGGTCATGAAACGACTGCAAGAAAACATTAGCTCAGAGAGCACCAAGGAGAAAGAAGGAAGGAGGGAGGGAGGGAGGGAAGGAAGGAAGGAAGGGTCACCTACCTAGTTGGGTAATGAAACATCTGCAAGAAAACCACCAAGCTCAGAGATCACTAAGGAGAAGGGAGGGAAGGGAAGGAAGGAAGGATCATTGAAGATGTTACTTAGTTGAGTAATAAAACATCTGCCAGAAAACCACCAAGCTCAGAGAGCACCAATGACTCCACAGTCCTTGTCCACCACCTCCACTTACACTCCGCACACCGTTCTTCCTTCTAGCACTGATGCTGTTACCTAGTACAGTAATAAAACGCCTGCGAGAAAACAGCCCAGCTCTGAGAGCGCCAAGGACCCTTCATGCCAACTCTGAGCCACAACAATTCTCCTTTATTAGCCTTCATCAAAACCAGACCACAAAATTCCGACTTGTTTTGGCCCAGAGTCAGCCGTTCCAAGTTCCTGACTCTGAGGACATTTGGTGGGCGTTCTGGAGATGCCAACTTCTGCCGTTTCTTCAAGACAACTCCTTTTCTTGTTTTCTCCTGGCTGGGGTCCCCCATCCCCATTGCAGACACAAAACAGAGGCTGACTTGTTTGGGGCTTTGACTCAGTCCTTCCTGGCCTCTCCCACCCCACCCATGCTGGCAGGCCCTGACATTACAAGCCCTTGTTCTTTGCTTGTGGCTCTTTGTGATGCGAGGTGGTGTGTGGGCGACAGCAAGTCGGCCGCACAGGCCCTCTCTTGTGCTTTTGTGTTGTGCGGTCCTCCGCCTCTCTCCCTGATTAAAACTCCAGCCTTGTTGAATCACAGACAGTGGGTTAAATCGAGACTTCTTTTCTCTGGAGCCCCCTGGTGTCCTTAACAAGGTGTGTGTGTGTGTTGTTTTTCCCCCTAGAGTTGACGGGTGAGGAGATAGATGAGGAAGAGGAGACGAGGAGGAGATAGATGAGGAAGAGGAGGAGATAAACAAGGAGCAGGATGAAGTAGGTAGAGGAGCAAGAGGAGGAGGAGATTACAAGGACAGGGGACACTGCCAACCTGCTAGTAGCATCCACATCAGTGTAAAGCCCGTGGAGGTCCATTGTGTCATCTCTGAGGCTTTCCAACACCGCGCCAAGCCCTCGGATTGGCAGCCAAGGAAGTCATCCCAAGGTACTGGACCTCCTCCCTTCCCTCTGGCACATTCACGTGGATGGTTGGACGTGCAGAAGACGACTTTGGATGGAGTGTCTCGTTTCACCCGCAAGAACGGATGGATGAACGTCAGCAATTCAGCGGGATAAGATGGTAGCTCTGGGGGGTTGTACTCGGCTGGTCTTCAGAGCGCTTTTGTAGTCTAGAAAGAGTGCAAAAAAAAAACCTAGAAATAAGGAGAAACATCCTGATAGTGAGAAGAAACAACCATGGAACAGAAGTTGCCTTCAGGAGTTATGGGTGCTCCATCACTGATGGTTTTCAAGAAGAGCCTGGACAGCTATTTGTCCAGGATGCTATGGGGTCTCCTGCGCAAGCATGGGATTGGACTAGGTTAGAAGTTCTATGTTGAGATGTTGATGCCATAGAAATAGTGCAGAGAAGAGTATCTAAGATGATGGTTTGGAGGCTACACCATATGATGGACAATTGAGGGAGCTAGGTATGTCTACCCATCGAACATGATAGTCTTGCAATAGTTGAGGGGCTATCCTGGAGAAGAGAAGGTTGACCGATTCTCCAAAGAACCTGAAGGCAGGACAAGAAGTAACGGATGGAAACTAATCCAGGAGAGAGCCAACTCTGAGCAAAAGAGACATTTCCTGACAGTGAGAACAAGTGGAACGTCTTGCCTTCAGAAGTTGTGGATGCTTCCATCACCGGAGGTTTTAAAGAAGAGATTGGATATCCATTTCTCCAGAATGGTGTAAGGTCTCCTCCTTGAAGGGGTGGTAGGAGACCTCCAAGGTTCTTCCCAACTCTTATTATTTTGTATTCTGCACATTAATCACTTTGTCCGGGATAGAAACATTATAAAATCGGTAGTTCTCTAACAGCTTACATCCACAAGATGTATGGAGACCGACCAGAAACGCTTTAGTTACAGAAAGTATTAGACTAGCTGACCGGTTGTGGCTTCTGTGTTCTAAGACGACAGTAACTGGACTCCATTATATCAGGAAAGGCTAGGAATGCACACTTCTGCCTGCATACACACTTCTACGCGCATCTGATAATCGTAGGAGAAAGAATAGCTTATTTGGTAGACTCAGGTCTTCAACAATTTCACTTCCCAAACTATTCACCCAACATTCACTACTGTTTATTTTTTATTTTTTTGCTTTTGTTGTTAGTAGTTCTCACTGGCCTTGAGTGAGAACTCAACGGTGGAAGGATTTCATTTCATGTGTACCGTTGTTGTTACCATCTCCGTTCATTCCCAAAGGTGCTTTTCTTTCAAGAGGCAACTGGACTTTCTTGTTTTTTCCTTTGAAGACATTTCACTTCTCCTCCAAGAAGCTTCTTCAGCTCTGACAGGATGGTGGGGAAGGGGAGGATTGATACTCCTTGCAGACATCTGGTCATTTGCATCCTTTTGTAGTGTCATTGAGGCCACTTGGAGGTTTGTCTGCGTCCTCGGGGTCACCTGAGTGGTTCAAATGAGGGTGGAGCCTCCTTGGAACCACTGAAAGGACTGAGGTGTAGACTGGAGGTAGATGATGTTGTATTCCTCCTTCTCTGTTGAGAGAGGCCTGTTTAGATGGCCTCTTGGACCCCTCCTTCAAACCAGGTGATGCAAATGACAAAGACAAACCTCCAAGTGGCCTCAACGACCCTCTAAAAGGATGCAAATGACCAGCTGCCTGCAAGGAATATAAATCTTTCCATTTCCCACCATCCTAGTCAGAGTTGAAGAAGCTTCTTAGATGAGAAGTGAAATCTCTTCCAAGAAAAAACAGAAAGTCCAGTTGCCTCCTGAAAAAGGACCTTTAGGCCAACCATGACCTGGAGGACCGAAGATCTCCTTGATTGGTGACCTACAACTCAATGATTGATCCAGGAAAGACAAAATACAGGTAGTCCTTGACTTACGATCCCCCTTGAGCTCAACACTTCTGTCGCTAGGCAAGACCGTTGCTAAGTGAGCTTCGCCCCATTTTGCAACCTTTCTTGCCCCGGCTGTTCAGTGAATCGCTGCAGCGGTTTAAGTTAGTTCCCACGATCGTTAAGTGAATCTGCCTTCCCCGTTGGCATTGCTTGTCGGAAGGTTGCAAAAGGGGATCGCGTTTAACCGTCATAAATACAAGTCCGTTGCTGAGTGTCTGAATTTCGATCCCGTGACCACGGGGATGCAATGATTGTCAGTGGGGGGAAAGGCTCATTTTTCAGTGCCGTTGTAACTTTGAGCAGTCCTTAAATGAAGGACTGTGAATCGAGGATTACCTGTAACAGGCTGGAGATAGAGATGACCCCAAATGAACTCCAGAGTAAATAAGTTGTATTTTCCTGGCCTTGAGAATATGCTGATTTATTTATTTTATTTTATTTTGGACCCAAAATCAAAACTCCCAACTTCTCAACATATCTTTACGGTGTCTTCTGTGTGGTTTGGAGGCAAATTCCTTCTCCTTCCCGGATCACCTGGGCCCACGATGAAGAAGGCCTGGGAACTTCTCAAAGTACCGTTTTGAAGGCGGGATCGCAGGGGTGGGATTCAAAAATCCCAGCAACCGGTTCGCTGCCCGGTTGCTGGGTGGGCGTGGCCTACCGAAACTTCTGGGAGGGCCATTTTTCTCCTTCCCCAGAGTCCGGAGGCTTCCCTCGGGCCTCTGAGAGGGTGCAAACAGCCTTCCTCAGGCTCCAGAGGCCCTCCAGAATCCAGAAACAGGCCTATTTCTGGACTTCCAGAAGCTGCATTTGTCACCCTCTTAGTGTCAACTAAAAAATGCTCCTTTGGTCTTCTTAGTTGCCAGCAGAAAGGGAGTGGGAGAAAGCAGTGCATTCCTTAAATGCCTCAGATAATCGCCTTGGTAGCCGAAGCTGTTGGCCCGCAAGATTATTACCGGAGAGCATGATAGATGACTCTTGGCTATGGATGTGTCTCATCCAGGGAGTTGGGGGAAGACCAGGGTCAAGGGGGAAATGAATGGTGTGTCAGAGTCGGCTGCAACCGGGAAAGGCCGACATGTCAACTCCTAAGAAATCAATCCATTGTACTCTGAGAGGATGCAACTGGAGACTTGTGATTTGAATGCGGGTGCATGTTGGAGCCCTGACACGCAGAGCCTCCACGCGGACCCTGCACTTATCTGCATCCCAAATAGGCCGTACGGAAGGGGGGGGAGGGGAGGGGAGGCCAGTCGGTCGGTTCAGCCACCGGTTCGGCAAACCAGGTGTAAATTTAACATCCGGTTTTCCCGAGCCAATCCGAACTGGCTGAATCCCGCCCCTGCGTGAACGTTGGAAAAGCGCATTGTCTCCCACACCCGTTCTGCCTTTGTCTTCCCTCCCCATCGTCCTCATCCTTCTCTTTGTTCCTCAGTGACTCAGCACATTAAAGATCTTCTGGAGAGAAACACTAAGAAGAAGTCCAAATTGAGAAAAAAACCCAAACCTTATGTTGAAGACCACGATGGTAGGGCGCGAGAACCAAAACCTTCCTTTAGCAGCCTCTTCTCCTTAGTCTAGTCCACTTCCACTTCCCTTTGTTTTCTGCAGCTTCTTAGTCTCTGCTTGGTCTCCCCATAACACGGCTTCATTCTTCTCCTAGCTGCTAATTTGGGGCGGAGGGGGGCGTCTCTACAGCCTGATTTTGGGGGGAACCTACTGCTAATCACGCTTTCCACCAACACCTACTGACTTTGGTCCAACATTCCAAGGTGCCCTTTTACTCGCGGTCAAGGCTGGCTCTGCCACAGGTTGCCCTCTGCAAGTTGTCCTCCTATCTCACTGGGGAGTCCGGAATCTGGGTTGTCGAGGGTTGTAAGAGGGAATAGCAGTTTTCCTAACCAGGAAGGGGGGGACGGACCTCCTTCCATTTGTCCGTCATCCGCGTCATGCCAACATACCTGTGATGTAGGTTCATGGGCAACCTTGGTGCACACGTTGAACCTGTAGCCCCAATGCGGGATTGACTGCAAGATAATTTATGGAACGCAGGGTTACCGTGGAACCAGTGGTGCTGTGATGACCTGGGGCGTGGCACAAAGGCAACACAGTCAGATAATCACTAGGAGTCCCTTTATTAGCTCCAACTTTGCCCCCCATGTCCTAGTTACCTTTTGGCTTTTGGGGGGAAAACTCTCCCAGGAACAACCTTTGACTGCAGAGAATCAAGTCCAAAATGTGGTCAATAAAAACTGTAACTTAAAGTCCAATCAAGGCAAAATGAGGTAACTAGTCTGGCATGGCAGGAGCAAGAATTCCAGACCTGAAGGAGTGGCAATAACTCAACACGGTCGGGAGGATGTCAAGAACACAGATAACCAAAGTCAATACAAAATAAAGTCAAGTTTTCTCCCAGCAGTGGCCGCACTCAGCATGCATCTCTTTTAAACTCTTCCCAGACGTGCCTAATGAAGGGAATCGGGGCCCATTCCTCCCCCGTAAGCCTTGCAACACATGTTGCTCTCTTCTCGTTCCTCCCGGCATGCCCTAGGATGAAGAGGGGATGGGCCTAGGTCTTCCTCTGAACTCCCTCTCCCTTGTTCTACCTCTTCCCTGCTTTGCCCAGCCAGACTTTGCCGTTCCTCAGTTTCCTCCACAGCCAATGGAGCCACGCTCCCCCTCCCTGTCATCTTCGTCTTGGGATTCAGACTCTGACAGGGGCATGACAAATGCGATTCAACCGGCGTAAGAACTGATTTGGCGATTGCGTGATTCACGCACATGCCCACCTTTTAAAAAAGCCCATTTTTCAGTTATAATACTTAACTTCCGCTGCAGCCCCATGAGTAAAACAGCTGAGGCAGGACAAAAACCACTCTGCCGCGCAAATCAGCTGTGCTCCAAAACAAGGAAATAAAGCCCAGGAAAGATCAGGGGTGGGTGGACGGGGCTAAATGATCACCGGAACTACTAGTTCACCCAAACTGATCCGAACCGGTAGAATCCCACCCCTGCCTGGAACCCATATTATGACTGTAAAGTCTGATGGGCCGTGACTCAGCTAATGGCAATCCCCTTAAGCATGGATCTCCAAACTTGGTGACTTTTAAGGCCTATGGACTTCAATTCCCAGAATTCCTCAAAATGCTGGCTGGGGAATTCTGGGAGTTGAAGTCCACCAATCTTGACCACAACCCTGTTCGGTATTTCAGCGTCCTGTGAAGACAAGAGAGCAGAGCTTGGAGGACTCTTGCAAAGGGCAGCTGTGGTAGAGATGAGGGTGGGGGGCAATGTTTGAGTGTCCACCTGCCTGGACAAAGGTTGCGTGTCCTGGCCAGAAGAAAAGGTTGAAGGGCCTAGCTCACCGTTCTTAAGGTAAGAAACGGATCTGGCATAATAGAGGTGTCACCTTTCTGCCTTTGGTCTGAGTTGGAGCCACAAGGGTCCTCTAGAACTCACAGAGACGTCTCACCATGCGTGACATCACTGTCGCCCTCTGAGGAGGTCCATGGAGGGTGGTAGTTGCTTCAGAAGATCTCCCAACTCTAGGTTACGTCAATGAGTGATGTTCCTGCTGAGCATCCTGGATTAGAAGATCTCTCTCTCTCTCTCTGGGAGTCCCTAGGTGCTCTCTGAGCTTGGAAGTTTCCTTGCAGACGTCTCATGACCCAACTAGATAACATCATCAAGGCTAGGAGAGAGTAGGGTTGGGTCTTGGGTGCTTTCTGAGAATGGTTGTTTTCTTGCAAGCATTTCATGACCCAACTAGGGAACGTCCTCAGTGCTAGAAGAGAGGGAGGTTGGGTCCTGGGAGGTCTCTGAGCTTGGTTGTTCTCTTGCAGACGTTTTATGACCCAACTAGATAACCTCATCAGTGCTAGAAGGGAGTAGGCTCGGATCCTCTGCATTTTCTGAGCTAAGTTGGCTTCCCCCCACTTCCCAAAGTTTCACGATCCAACTAGGGAACATCATCAGTGCTAGGTATGTTTTCACACTCTGGACAAATGCTTAGAAGAAGGCCAACCTGTTTGAATGAATCGAAGAGAGGTGTTGTACAAAGTTCAGAAGCCCTTTTGAATTGTGTTGGAAGCTTCCAACCATCTTAACAGGCAGGACATAAGAATTTAATTGATGCGCAGGTGTCATTGAGTATATAATGCAATGGCAACCTGATGCATATGACCTCATGGCACCTTCCAGATTTCTATTAGCATTGAGTATTTTGGGTTTTGTCTTCTGTTTTGACCCACTCGGCTGTTGGGTCCGTAAGCAGAACGTTAACCAAAATACAGTTAATTCTCAACTGACCACAATTGATCCCAACTTTTTCATTGCTAAGTGGTTGGGTTGAGTTTTGCTCCATTTTACGATCTGTCTTGCCACCGTTGTTTTGTGACCCCCCCCCAGGAAGCAAAGTCAACGGAGAAGCCAGATTCATTTAATGACCGTGTTGCTAACCGAACGACTCCGGCGGTTCATTTAATGGTGGCAAGAAATGTCATAAGAGAATGCTAAACTCACTTAACAACTCATGGTTGACTCAGCCTTCCGTCCTTTCATAGTGGGTAAAATGAGGTCTCAAATTGTTGGGGAGCAAGAGGCTGACTCTGTAAACCACTTAGAGAGGGCTGTGCACTGTTAAGCGGTATATATATCTAGGTGCTAGTGGGAAGGAAGGGAGGGAGGGAGGATTGAAGGAAGGAAAGGCAAGAAAGAAGGAAGGAAGGAAGGAAGGAAGGAAGGAAGGAAGGACGAAAGGAGGTTTCATAGTGGTTAGAATGCAGTATTGCAGGCTGACTCTGCTCATTGCCAGGAGTTCGATCCTGACCGGCTCAAGGTTGACTCGTCCTTCCCTCCTTCTGAGGTGGGTAAAGTGAGGACTCAGATTGTTGGCGGGGCAACAGGCTGACTCTGTAAACCGCTTAGAGAGGGATGGAAAGCACTGTGAAGCGGCATATAAGTCTAAGTGCTATTGCTGTTTCACTTAGCAACAGAAATTTTGGGTGTCATTGTGGTCGCAAGGATGCAATCTGCCTTTTGCAGACAGACCCGTTTTACAACAGATCCAAATGCAAAATAGGTAGGTAGGTAGGTAGCTAGATAGATAGATAGATAGCAAAAATCCTGATTTTAGCATCCATCTCCAGGGGTTTGTCTCCTGGAAAGCTGGGTCTTTCTATCCAGGAGTGTCTGAGGTGGGTGAGAGGAGCATCAAAAAAAAGTTAAAATGACTTTTTTGACCTACCTCGCCCCGCATTCCTGACATTCCTGCTCAGCTTATTTGGGCCCAATGGACATCTTCCCCATAAAAGAAGGGCTGATTGGAATATCTGGCAAAGCCGAGTGGCGGCCGCTGAAAGCGCATTTATAAAAATTCTGCCTGCGTACGCCTCACACGCTTAACGTGGCTGCTAATTTATCCCTTTGGAGGTTTTCCTTCCATGCAAGAAAATCAAGGTTAAAACTAAACATGCGTAGCATATAAATAGTAAATTGCAACTGGGAAGAGGGAAACGATGATCAGAAGCTCGCTCAGAGTGGTGTTCTCCTTGCCCAAAGGTGGGTTGTTGGTTTTTTTCCGAGAGTCAACTGGACTTTCCGGGTTTTTCTTTGAAGACATTTCGCTCAGTAGTGGGTTCCTACCTTGGTTCCTACCGGTTCGGTGGGAGATTACGCGTGCACGTCCTAACATGTGCACGTGCCCCTCCGATGCACCAATCTGCGGAGAGGATGAATTAACGAAAAGCTAGGAGTGACCTTCCCACCCACCTATGCGCTTGTCGCTTCTTTTATCCTCTGAGTCGATCGTTGGAGGAACTGGTTCGGTTGAGCTGGTAGTTATTTTTACTACCAGTTCGGCTGAACCAGTCTGAACCGGTAGCATACCACCACTGGTTTTGCTTCTCATCCGAGAAGCTTCTTCAACTCTGACTGGGGAATCGAAGGATCTATATTCCTTGCAGACAGCTGGTCATTTGCATCCTTTTTAGAGGGTCGTTGAGGCCACTCGGAGGTTCTTCTGTGTCCTCAGGGTCACCTGAGTGGTGCAAATGGGTGTGGAGCCTTCTTGGAACGGCAGAAAGGACTGTGTGGTGGAGCTGTGCCTTCTGCAGGGTGTTTTTTTCTCTGCTCTGTGTCTCGTCACTGTCGAACACAGGTGAAGGCTATTGGGGACGAGTCTGTGTTGTCTCCATCTCAGACAGAAGTACAAATGGTTCCTGTAGTGTAGTCTGCAATTTTTCTGTAGACTACAGGGAAAAAAAAATCAATCCCATTTCCACTATTCAGGTGACCCTGAGGACACAGTCCCAAAGGTGTTGGTTTTTTGTTTTTTTTCCAAGAGGCAACTGGACTTTCTGGTTTTTCTTTGAAGAAATTTCGCATCTCATCCAAGAAGCTTCTTCAGCTCTTCAAAGAAAAACCAGAAAGTCCAGTTGCCTCATGGGAAAAATGCACCTTGACCTGGAGGACTGAGAATCTCCATAGGTCTGAGGAGACACGGACAAACCTCCAAGTGGCCTCGGTGAGCCTCAAGACTCGGTGGTCCTATCTGGGCCAAGGCTAGTTGTTCCTAGGTTGTTAGTTGTAGCTCTCCTGAATTTGAAGTCAATGGCCAGAGTGAGTTCATAGCGTTCAGGAGGAGGCAGAAGAAAGAAGTGCCACCTGGCCAAGAGTTGACTTGATGGGACTCCAGAGAACGCTGCTGAGATGGGATCTTCTCTAAGCTGAATCTTGCCCCCCCCCCCCCACCCCCGGGGCCCTTCTTGGGTAGGGACTTCAGGAAGATGCTCAAGAAAGATGGGAAAGAGGGTCTGCTTGCCATGGGACCTCTTGTGCAAGCACACCTCTCTGGTTGCGTGGCTTCTTCTCGGTCAGCTGCTTGGGTCTCTCTCCTCTTTGCCTCTTCCTCCTGGGTGGCGGCTCATGAATTGTCTTTGCTCTGACTTTCTCTCTCTCTCTCTCTCTTTTCCTTTCTCCTTCCTCCTTTCTCTCTTGTAGGGGTGGCGGTAAGCACTTACGCCAAGTATTGCTACAGCAAGCTCCAGAAGGCAGCGTTGACTGGCGCCAAGAAGGTATTTTCCCCTCCTCTCTCTTTTGCGTCGTCTTTCGAGGTGGCCTTGGGAGATCAGAGCTGGTAGCTAAATAATCATGGGAACACATGTGGGGGGTGGGGGCTGGGGGGGTTGGTTCAAAGTTGGAAGCCTCTCCCAAGAAGTTGCAAGCATCTCCCAAGACGTTGGAAGCCTCTCCCAAATCTATACCTTGATGCATGAGCCAAGACATCCAACTCAACCTTCTGGCCCTTGTCCTTTTGCCCGAGAGGGGAAAATTGGTGGAGAGCTTCCTGTCCAGACATTATTTTGCTTACCAACATTTTTTCCTCAAGGAGGAAAATAAGGTGCAGGAGATTTGAAAGATTATGCGATGACCCGGGGCATGGCACAAAAGCAACCAAGTCACAAAAATAGGTAAAAGTGCCTTTAATACCTCTAACTTGGCCCCCAATGTCCAGTTATCATTGGCTGGAGAAAAGAAAACTCTCCCAAGAACAGTCTTTCAAGGGAAGAAATTCAGTCCGAACCCAAAGTACATATAAATTATAAATAAAAACCAACACAAACCACAGCTGCGGCAATTAATGAGACAAGGCAGGATAAGGAATTGCAGACTTCAAAAGACAATGAAACACACACAGTCGGGGAGGACGCTAGACCCCAGATAAGCCTCGGCAAACAAATATCATTCACCCTTTGCTTCCAGCAAGGTGCTGTGCGCAAAAGCCCTTTTAAAATCCTGTTTTCCCAGCTGCAGCTAATGAAAGGAATCAGGGCCCTTTTCTCCCCCGTAACTCACCTTGCTCCCTTCTCCGTTCCTCCCTGCGTGCCCTAGGATGAAGAGGGGGTGATGCTGGGTCTTCCTCTGAATGCCCAGCCGGACTGTGCCCTTCCCCCATTTCCTCCACAGCCACCGGAGCCCCACTCCCTGTCAGTTGCTCAATCTCCCCCTCGGAATCAGATTCCAACAGGGGCATGACAGATTAAGAGGACACGGAGAACTCCAGAATTGGGGAGGCCATCGAAATATCCCTGCGATGGTGGGATTTTAGTGTGTTTGTTCAATACGTACAAGCAGCCAGGGGTGAGATTCCACCGGTATAACAACTGCCCACACTGCATTTGAAAAAGATCTAATACTTGCCTTCTACTGGCAGCCCCTGTGAATAAAACTGCCGTGCGAATCTGCCGTGCTCTAAAAACAGGAAATAAAGCTCAGTAAAGCGCATGGTCAGGCAGGTGGGCCCACATGCTCATCGCAGTGAACTGGTTCGGGAGCCAGCTGATCATTGGAGCAAAACGGTCCGAACCGATAGAATTCCCCCCCCCCCTTGCAAAGCAGCCATCTCAACGCGTGTGTGTGTGACTCTGGGCAGTTCACAAGGTCGAAAGAAAACAAAGCACCCCTAAATAGAAAAACCACTAGAAGCAAACGAAAGCAGCTAATACAGGAAATGGCCATTAACCATGAAACCTACAATGTAGGAAGTCCGCAGATGAGAGCCATCTCGACACCTTCAAACCACGTCTAATAACAAGCCAGCCTTCTTCGGGGTCCTCTAGAAAGGCCGATAGGTCTTGTGCCAGACCTCGAAAGGGGTGGCTGGGTGCTGAGTCCATACTTGTGGCCTCCATCTTGATATTTTCGACCCACTTCTTGCAGATGCTCCTGAGCATCCAGAATTGGATGTCCAACGAGAAGGAAGGGGCTGTGGCCGAAAGCGGAAAAGACTCTCAATTAGGTAGTGCCAGTAGAAGAGAATATTTGTAGTTCAGGGTTGAATGGTGGGGTCCTTGGTGTTCTCCGCACTCGGTAGTTTCCTTGCAGACGTTTCCTAACCCACCTAGGTAACGTCATCGGAGGTAGGAAGGGGTGGAGTCTTCCGAAAGGAGGAGGAGGACGGTGGAGTCATTGGTGCACTCTGAGCTTGGTGGTTTTCTTGCAGGCATTTCGTGACCCATCAAAAGTACGAGAAGGGAGTGGGGTTTTGCAGAATAGGGGAAGGGGAGAAGAAAGAGGATATTCTTATACTCGTAATATTAATTTTTTAAAACTTACATGTCACCTAACTCACCATGACTCTGGGTGGCTCACCATAATTAAGCAAAGAAATTACAATATCAATCTAATTCACCGTCTCTATTTTTTCTGCAAGCAATGCTTTTGAAAGCATACTTTGTAAGCAGATATTTGTCGAACATGTATATTCCGGATGGATGGATGGATGGATGGATGGATGGATGGATGGATGGATGGATGGATAGATAGATAGAAAGAAATAATAATAAATGGATGATAGAAAGATAGAAGGAAAGAATAATAAATAGATGATGGGTAGATAGGCAGATAGATAGATAAATAGATAGACAGACAGACAGACACAGACAGACAGACAGATAGATGGATGCATGATAAATGCAAGAGAGAATGATAAATGCATGATAAATGCAACAGATAGATAGAATGATAAATGCATGATAAATGCAATAGATGATAGATAGATAGATAGATAGATAGATAGATAGATAGATAGATAGATAGATAGATACAAGAGATAGGCAGATAGATAGATGATACATAGATAGATAGATAGATAGATAGATAGATAGATAGATAGATAGATAGACAGACAGACAGACAGACAGACAGACAGACAGATGGATGCATGATAAATGCAAGAGATAGAATGATAAATGCATGATAAATGCGATAGATAGATAGATAGATAGATAGATAGATAGATAGATAGATAGATAG